TGCTTCTACTGGGATTTCTCACTGTAGACCCAAGCCAGCTGTGCCAGTAACTTTATCAACCCTCCAGGGTTCCCCTTGTACCTAGTATAGTGTTCATGTTTGAAGGAACAATTAATCCTTCTGTTCTAAACTGAAGAATAGCTTTAAAAATGTGTCAGAAATCATCGGGAGCTTAAGTTTTGGGGTTGGATTATCATAACCTTTAAAGTCATGTAGATAATAGGAAGGACAAAACGATTAGAAAAAAATTGAAATCAGGTTTACTGAGGTGCTTTAGAAGAGTACTATGACAGTTACACTATGACTGTTATTCCAATGTGTTTCACCCAGAAATTACACAGTCAATCCACTTTACAATATATTATGTAAAGCACTGTGAGACATCTCAAACAACCTGATAAAGCACTATATCAAATTCAAGGATTATTATTATTAAAAGGTAATATATGCATCAAATTGAATCTTCCATTTATTATAGAATGCTTCTAGCTAAATCGGGGAAATGGGGGCACTTCTGCTATTCTCGTCACAAAGATCCAAACCAGATATAATCAATTTCCTAAGTAAATTCTTATGCTGCCTTTTATTAAGGATTCCATAAACGCCTTTCCTTTTTTCTCCCCATAGGTGTTGGTACATCTTGAATCACTCAGGTCCCACATGGATTAGATTGCCTAGATCCAGCACAACCAGACAGGAAAAGATGTTGACATTGCTGACGGGACATTTATTTTCAACCCGATGCTTCGCAAAGCGAGTTGGTTTAGAACTCTTAAAATAGACGATTGCATTTCTTTCTTATTGGTAAAGAATAAAAGTTCCCCATCGTGCTCAGAAGATTTAAAGAAACAATACACTGAATAAAAGCCATTGGGAGTCGGTGTCCAAACTCTTTCAGCATTTTAACCATGTAATCTACTTAAATCCTTCACTTTGAGATTCCAATATGTTCCTGCCTGGCCCAAAATCTAATGCAGCCTTTCAAGTCTAGAGAACCACATGGTTATCAGGAAATTTCATTTAAACCTTGCTCTGTCACATCTGTTAACTTTTAGCGATTCAGACATAAATATAGTAGTTAAAGCAGTCACAGACTAAAATTATATTCTAAGACTTCAGAAGATAATAAAACGTGATAAACCTTCCCCTTTGATGTAACATCCCATTTAAGGAAATACTCTCTGTTGTAGCCTCGTCAGGAAGAATTCTTTTTAATATAGAGACTCTCTTTCTCTTACATCTCTCTCCCTCTCTCTCCTACAGTGCTTATATTAAACAGCCTTCAGACTAGTGGCCAAGTTAATTCTATAAATTTACCTGTGAGGCCCACAGAGCTTGCAACTCAGCGGAAGTCAGATTCTTCGGAAATTTGGAATCAATGAAACTCACCCCCCAAAAAACTGGATTTTTTTAAACATAGGTTTCTAAATTTATAATGTTTATCATGGCAAAGGGAACCATCTGACTGCTGGCAGACACTTATACAGCAAGTTATAGAGCCAGAAATGTGTATGTGTGCTCATTTGGGTTACTTGAGTGCATGTGGCTAAATCATGCATGTATGTAATGCTGCTGGGAAAGTTTTTTTTTAAAAAAAATGACCACAAAGAGTTTCTGAATCATTTAAACTCGCGCAGAAAACATGTCGCTTCAACTCGCACTGTGCTTCTACTTTCATTTGTATATTTATTTTTCAGGCAAGTTGAAATAACCCATCAGCTTTTTAATCTTTACATTGTTCCTAGTGCTTTCACTAGACATGACGCATTGTTTGCAAGACCTCCCTGTCAGGTTGATTTCCCGGTAGAGACGAAACACTCTACCTGAGTTATTACAGGATATTCAAGAGTGTATCTCACTTGACTGTTTTCTACTCCTCTGCAGATCTCTGTCTCACCCCTACAGCCAGTTCAATAGGAAGCTGTTCTGCTTGATCTGACACAGAACTACTGCAAAGGTGCAGTGGTTTCAAAGTCATGACTTTATCCACTGGACTTCCTTGATTTCAGCACCGTTGACTGTTTGGTTGGGCTGAGAGCACAGGCTGCCTGTGGCGTTGAGAGAAATGTGCAATGGAAGACTGTTCAGACACCGTTTACATTGCTGCCTGTGAAGGTGTGAGCTAAACGGGAGATGGGTAAAGAGGGGCAGAAGTTACACTACATCTGTTGTCCTGTTGTCATCATACATTGCATTTTCACAAACATCATTAGTATAAATCTAACTCGATAGTTTTAAAAATCAGGAAATGAATTTTGCTGAACGCTGGTCACTTTCAGTCAGATAATTATTACTTTTGTTGTAAAATGAGCAGTTGGTAAACTTTTCCTGTTGTAACTATTGTGATTTCACTTCATCGAGTCTCCCAGTCTTCCTCAGTCTTTGCTACTTCAATCGTGCAAGTGATAAAGTATATATATATATATGACGGCAATTCTATTAATAAAGGTTGGGACTGTTGTAAATGAGAGATTTGCACGCCTTAAACATGAAAGAACCCCGTTCTGCCTACAGTCTTTCACATTAAACTGCTGACCACCCAGAGAGAGGCCTGTGGGACTAACCTTAAGGGACTTTACAGAATGTCCTAAAAGTTTTATCAGTTGTGACCTTGATTTTCTGAGGATTTGGAAAAATCGCAGGCGAGTTTTACAAAATGTTTCCTTTTAGGACTCTAGTTCTAGAGTGAAGACGTGATTCTTTTCATTGGGTCATAATTATAAGATCTAAATCCAAGTCACTGATTTTGGGGGGGAAGGAGGGGTGGTGTGGCAATAACAGGAAATAAACTTTCTGTCAAGTGCCTTTGATGTTGGAATTGAGGCTCGTCAAGTGAGTACCTTTAGGATTATGACAATAACATACAATTTGTGTGATCATACCTAACCCGAGCCTTCAAGCAGTGGCAGATCCAGAACATGTATAAAGCTAACTAGCTTTTGCTGCAAAGGGTGATGGAGTCATTTCTATTTCACTTCAGTAAAGGTGAAGTACTGTAGCAGAAATGCAGGTAAAAATGCAGACCTCGGCTGATTTGGATCAATGGATCAGTGAGGAAATGTGGTGTACTGAACCGAATGGGTGGCCTGAGTTTTGATGCGCTGTGGTTTTACTGACTGTTGATGTCAGTTTGGGTGACAGTGTTAGAGAGTACAGTTTGGTTCAGTCGCCATGAGCTAAGAATCTTCCTCTGCTGTAATCTACCATTTTCTCCCTTGCCCTTTGCATCCCAGAGGTAAGCCAACTTGCTCCTCTGAATCTCCTCCAGCAGGTATAAATGTCACCTTGTGGTCAGGCTGTATGCTATGCTGTGATGAGGATTTCAGGAATATTAAATTCTCCAAATTGATTCATTGGTTCCTCAACAGTACTTGTGGAATATTCTCAATGCAAAGTTAATAGCAGAATGGAAGGAATTAGTCTGGAATTGAGTTGGAGAAAGGTTGAATAGAAATAACAACTTTTAATTGTACAGTGTATCTATATTCGGTGTGATTTGTGAATAAAGTATGTTGCAGAGGTCTACCTTATTTTCTGTGGAGTTTTGCAGGTCATGAAAAAACTGAGGCAATCAATCTGCCAAGACGCAACTTGAAATGGGAAAGAAGATAAGATAATAAGTGTAACTAGAAAGAAGTTGGGGAGGGCATTTGCGAGTTTACTAAATGTCCTTATACTTGTGTGACCTTACTGGATCCGGGCTTTTGTAGTGATTGGACATTTTGGAAACATCTTTGCAAGTTAGATGTTGGAACCTTGTTCCAGTAGGAATAGTGACTTTGAGTGACAAGCTGCTCAGGGATTCCCATTCAACACATTGTGTTTGGGAGTCAAGCACTCTGCACTCTCTCTGTGTTCCCAAGGCCACCAACTGTTGACGTTTCTCATTATTTTTCCCTCATTAGCCAATTGCCCTACACCTGTTCCAGTTACCCCGAGGAAGGTTCCGACACTGCACTTGTTTGTTTTTCCTCAGCTCAGTGAGTAGAAGGAAGGAAATATCTTTAAATGTGTGGAGTGACTGTTTCTTTATTCGGTAGCCAGCAAATACAGTGTTTTCTGCTAAGGTTGGAGTTTGTACTGATTCGGGGCAGTTATCTACTTCTCCTATCCTCGATTTGCTGGGGGAAATACCACACAAGAATGTGTAGTAGAATAGTAGTGCTAAGCAATATAGCCTTAATGGTGTCCTTTTATCTTTAGAAATGCACATTTTTTGGTGGAGGAAAGGCAACTACAGAAGCTTTTGCATCAATACTGTGGACTCTGATCCCTAAGGGCTTTTAGTTCAGATCTAAGCTTTGACTGTCTTTAAACTGGGCTCGGCTTAATTGACGAATAGGCCAGTGCACAGTGGCAGAGTGCTACCTCTCAGTGGGTGGAGGGAAGGCTTGGGATCACTCGTGTGATTTCTCCCCCCCCACCACCCCCCACCATACACACACACAGACACAAGCACAATAAGTGCTTCCTTTCTGCGATGAATGAGAAAGTGCACCGACCGACCAATCTGTTCTTGTTGCACTTAGCCAGAAATGCTAATTCTTAACTGGGAATATTTGTAGATATGTACAAATAGTGGATTCACTGACATTTTCTAGGGATGCTGCAGCTAGTTTCAAAATGTAATAACCGTTGCATAGTAAAGGTTTCAGGCAGGGGTAGTCAGACTATTATCCAACCTGTACAGCTTCCCAACAGATTCCTTTGATACATTTCATCTACAGCGTTTTACTCCCTAATAATTCAGAGTTCTTTTAATTTCCAGGAATTTGGGCATTTCTTATTTGTGAGCAAACACATTGCATCACAGTTATTTTATAAAAGGACGGCACGCCTCGCATGGAAGCTATTTTTGTCAAATAAGCACTACTTAAATATATTTTTCTTCTTTTACATATGAGCTATTTTTGAATATTTTGCACTATCGTAAAACAGCAGGTTATTGTGTATTACGCACTGCAGACAAAGTAATTTTTTGGGTTTTGTTTTTTTTATAGGGGTCAACTGGTGAATTTGGCAGAGAAGGATACAGTGAAGATCATTATCCTTTGGAAGGTAACTTGTGAGCACTTTATAAAAGGCGCAATGGTTTGTCAGGTTATCCTTTCCTCTCCATTCCTCCTTTAAATCTCCTTGAGTTACTTCCCCTGCCCCCAGCCCCCCACCTCCCCCACCCTCCCGGTTTTGAAATTTGATGAGAAAAGTGCATTTGCATCTCTTTTGCCTGTTGTCTTTATAAAGCAGTAGAAACACTACGTAAGATGCATTAATAGGCAAAGCAGAACTGTGTGGATTGTGAAATCCACAGGTTGGGTAGTCTATTAAACCTTGAGCGCATTTACAAGCAAGGTCACCGGTAGAGGACCTGCAGCAAATTGAAGGACTTATTCTTAACTCCACTCTGCTTCCTATGCTACAGTAGTAAAAGACTTATCACAGCATTAATGTGTAAATTAATCAATGAGACATTTTATAGGGAATACATTACCTTTGTACACATTGCGTTTTTAAAGGAAGTGCTGTTTTAAAAAAAATCCAACAGGAGAATAAAACAGCCTATCCTTAAGTCTAGTAGCTTGGGTGTTAAATGACTTTCACAGCTGTCTAATTGGGTTTGTGTTTTGATAAAGTGTTCAGCTGGGCCCCCTCAATGTTTGCTAAGTCAGCGATGTCATATGGTTGTTAAGTTAGTGACATTGCAGTAAACGTGTATTACCAAACATCTGGATGGCCTGCTTATTGCTGTCTAATTTTTTGTAGCTGTGAATTTTTCTTGTTGCACTTCAGGCAGATACAGGGTCTCAGTCACATTTACTGTATCATGAAGTGAACATTTTGTAGTTATATATGCAAATTACTTCATAATAAAAACTCTGAATGTATCAGAACTCCAGTATACTTCGCACAATCATTTTTTTATTGCTTTGCACAATAACTTTATAGTGACATAAATAGATCACTGTAAACATTTCATTTGGTAGCAATCTATATTGTATATAAAGTGACTGCCTATATTGCAGGAGAGTGAGAACCACCATTAAAATCGAATCCTATTCCCATAACAAGTAGAAAAACTGAGTGCAAACTTAAGTTTACATTTTCCATTGGGTGTTAATGGGAGTCCCAAAAATGTAATGATGGCATTAAATATTTAAATACGATGAGAGAACACTGTATGTATCCATAGGACACTTGATAGAGCTACTTAAGGGAGCTCACTCTATGAGCATACCTATGGTAAGTTGCCATTCCTTCTTGTTAAGTTCATTAGAAATCTCCACTTGTTAACTGAATGGAGGGTGGGGTCTGTTCTCTATCACAGCAAACTGATATTTACATTGATCAGACAAAGTGAGTCAGATGGAAGGGTTTTGCACGAAGAGTAATACAGTATACTTGTGCAATAAGAAACTGGAAAAATCCATTGGGGCAGACAACCGGCAACTGAGTATGTTCCAGGAAAGAGAGAGAATGAAGAATATAGTGAGAAGAGTAACTGGATTGAGAATTATTAAGGGGGCAGGATTGTTGGCTTAATTAACTATTCCTGACCAAAAATTCTTGTGCTTAAACAACTTACCCCAATTTGTGCAGGTGAGACATTAATGCTGTGGCTCATCTTCCGGGAACAGACATAGGGATGCACAGCCAGACAGGTGGAGAATTTTGGGGATAATAACAACAATAATTCTTACATTTGATACAGCGCCTTTTACATTGGGAGGACATCTCAATCTGCCTCACTGCATTTACTGTAAAGCATAGTGATTGTGTACTTTGTAAGTGAATGCAGCAACTTCTTAGCACACAGCAATGTCCTACAAATAGCCAAACAGTGAATGATCAATTTTACCCGGAGGACTATTGGCCAGAATGCTGGGAGAAACTCCCTTTTTTTGTAATAATGCCATGTGATTGTTAAGGTCCATCTGAATAGGCAGATGGAACCTTGGTTTAATGTCTTGTCCAAAAGATGGCACCTGCAACAATGCAGTGCTTCTCCCAGCACTGCACAGGAGTATCAAGAATCCCTGACAAAGTCCCGATATGGGGCTTGAACCCAACAACCTTCTGACTCAGAACTGAGAGTGCTACTAACTGAGCCAATTGGCTACTTGATGCCTGCTTTCAGAACACACTTAAAATGTTGGGAATGAATATTCCACGTTGTAGAATTAATAGGTTGAGGGGTTGAGAAAGCCACAAACCTCTTGGGGATAAAATTGACTTTTAGCCTCAACAGAAGTAAAAACAGGCAAAATTAGAAGTTCCTCCTTCATGCTAAATAGATCCAATTAACTACATGCAAATTTGGTCAGTTGCAAACTAAATTATATCTTATTGAAACAGTATAAATTCTATCTTTTGTTTCCTTGGAGTCCATGTACTATGACGTATAAACTTGTGGATATTCCTCAGAAAGAGCTTATTAATTAGACTTGATATTGAAGGAAAGACTGAATATCTACACAAGAAAATGTACAGTTGCCAAATATGACAACCCTACTGTATTGTACAAAATTATATAAGCTTGCGTAAGCCTGACAGAAATCTTTACTGATAAGAAGGATAACCCCTTCTATTAAATGGATAAAGTATTGCTGTTGAAGGTGTGAGGTGGATTCTCAGGAGACATTTAAGGGAAACCAAAGGAGATATTTTATTGAAAGAAATTTGACCCCGTTGCTGCACAGTTGTATGGGACAGAAAAGTGTGCAGTGGTCCCACCGGTTCTGTCACTAGCTGATACTGAATAATGTTGAATGATAGCAGATCCGCTTAATTTAGGATTTTGAGTTTCTACCATTCAATTTTCACACAAAGCCCTACTCACTGGTGACGATAGAAGCATTAAGAGTGCACTTGAGTGAAGTTTCCTGAGTGAATTCACCTTTTTCTCAGTAAACAGGGATAGACCTCATTCTTTCAACTACAAAATACAGTGTAACAGCAATAGTAAATATTTTGAAGTACTTTGAAACCTTTTGACAATGTGTCAAGCGCAAGGATTATCAGTATCATGACTGAGAATATAAGGAGGACAGTCATTGGGATTTTATTGGCGATATTCATTAATTGTTAACCTCTGAAAATTGCTTTTGCTCAACAAAACACTGGAGAGTGAAACACCATCTCCTCACGGCCATCTGTTTGACTCTGCAGTCCTTTTTTGTAATTTGATGGCCTTCTGAACTCACTGACCCAAATCCGACCTTGTAGAGTCTCAAAATAGGGCTTCCCACCCATTTCATGAAGATTGTAAATTAGACCCCACTTTTAGGATTAAAACTCTAGTTTCAACGAAACTCATTTTTTTTACTGCTACCTTTTGAAAGATTAAATTTCATAAAGTTATGCAGAAATCAGATAAAATGTCAGTCAAATGTACGGCACGATGTCAGTTATCTTAACTGTATAGAAATTCATTAATTCCAAAATCCTAATCATATTTGCTGAAATATGAAACTCTTTACCTTCCAGATGGAATAAAAAAAATCTTTCTGAAGCTCAATGACAAAATATATAACAGCTGTTTTTTTAAAAAAAAGTAAATTAAGCACTGCAGAATAAAGGATGCTGGATTAGAACTTTAATCAGTTTCATAAAAGCTTGATAAAATCCTTTTTTTTATGGTCTTGGATGGCAGAAAGGAAAAGCAGTGGATTCTTGGATTAAGGATTTATTTGGCGAGAGATTGGTGCATTAGTGGTCCTTTTGAACTATAGAATGAACAAAGTAAACATCAAAGCATTGAGCCCTGAGAGCAGAATGTTGACTCAGTGAAACTCCAGCTTAAAGGTTACGACTTCTATCTAGAGTCATGTTTAATAGGACTAGTGTGGAAAGAAACTGTTCATCTCTTAACGGCTCTTACATCCGGTGCCAACGTTTGATTTTACTAGCGTTCTTGCAGAGGATGGAGGAGTTTTATTGTTAGATACAGCTTTTTTTTCTCCACTGCTGCCTTCCTTAATCACACTTCCTGCTCCAGGCAGGACAAAAGGTTCCAGTTACTTGGTTGCTGCCCATGGCACTCTCTGATCAGTCATAGAGTGCTTCTGAAGAACGGAGATGGCACAGCTTTACTTTTCTGCAGATACTCTGCAAATCAGTACAAGATCTGGAGGAAGCTGCCCTTTTGGGGTCAGTCAATTTGAAGCAAATCAAAATGAAAGCCACTTTGGTAGCACGTGATCTATTGCTTAAATTGGTGGAGACTCTTCACTTGCTGTTTTTTTAAGCATTGTTGCTGCAATCATTTCCTCTGAGCTTAGACATGTTCTGTGACAGAAATCCTTTCCATTAGTAATGATGATTTTATACACTATTTTCAATATAATAATAATAATCCTTGCATTTGATATAGCGTCTTACTATGTGTTCAAAACGTCTCAAAGCCCTTCACAGAATATACTGACTGTAAAGTGAATTGACTGTATAGTTTCCAGGCAAAATGATATACATTATGTATAAAACCTGACCAGAGCTCCAGGGCTTCAGCAACTTGTTTACACTATAAACAGCTTGTAATGTATTCATTGAAAAATTATTCAAAATTTGAATATTTATTTCCTTATGTAATGTGGCAACATGAGTTCAAACAAACAACCTTTATGCCTCACTGATGTTGAGCTTGGGGGAGACAAATAAACAGTTGGACTAAAAAATAAATGGGATTTTAGTTTATTGGAAACAACCCAGGAGAAGAATTTGGGGGTTCTAGGTAGATTGATTATTAAAACTGTTAGCACAGCATGGAGTAAAGATAGGAAACAATCTCTTAGGATGTGTACTAAAGGGATACTGAATTACACACAGGAAACGATATACTGAACTTGAACAGACATTGATCTGACTCACTACTAAATACCAGACGCATTTCCTGTCACCGTATTACAATAAGGACATCTCGGTATTGGACAGGGTGTAGTGAAAGACAACCAGATTTGATAGCTGGAATTAGACACAGTGAATTATGAGGAGAGACTGCAGAAACTGGGAATGTTCACACTAAACGGCTCAGGGATTATCTTAATGAAGTATTCTGGATTACA